TCCTTCTACAGACCTAATGGTCCTAGATTTAGCTTCGCCAAACCACTCAATCCAGCTAGTCAATATCTATAACCAAAGGCCCCAGAAGGAGCCACAAGGCCCCTATACTATAGAGCGGGTATTCGGCTACTCCACGCCTAATCCTAACTCGCTAATAGTCGGGGATTTTAACTGCCACCATCCCTGGTGGGATCCAGGCTGCTCTACCTCCCAGGAGGGTAACCGCCTACTAGACTGGATTGAATCTAATAACCTAACGCTCCTAAATAACCCAGGCGAAGCTACCCGCTTCCGCCAGGGGAACAGGGCGTCAGTTATTGATTTAACTCTAGCTAGTAATAGTATTTCGAATAGAATCCAGGACTGGCAAATATTAGAAGATATCGGGTCCGACCATAGACCTATCCTATTCAGTATACTACCCTCCTCCCGGGAGAACTCGCCTCCGCCAACAACAGGGCAAAGATATAACCTAGGCAAAGCAAACTTCCTAGAGTTTAGAAGTTTATTCCGAACTAAAATAGACCAACTACTAGAATCTTCTTACCTAGAAGAACTAGAAGAGGGTCATACGACACAAGAAATCCTCTCGGGAAAAGAACTTAATATCCCGCAACTAAATCAACTAGGTAGTAGTCTCCAGGAGGCTATAACCTTTTGTTATGGACCGTAAAGGAAATCAACCCGCAGGGTCGGAAAGACCTTATGGGAAGAAGGCCCACACGGGCCTGGAGACCGCAAGGGCTTAGTAACCACAAGGGCCCGCGTCCCGCGAGGCACCAGTAGACACGTGCCAGACAAGACCGCAAGGGAACAAAGACCACAACCCCAAGAAGCCCACACGGGAATGCACCCCGCAGGGACCTAGTCGACCAAAAGGCAACGACTCCAGAAAGCCCGCAGGGGATTGATGTCTACAAGGACAAAAGGCAGCAAGCCGGCAGCAACCCACAGAGCGGCTAAAGGATAAAGAACTTATCGCGTCCGCTCTGCGACAAGAAAGAAGGTTGTCGAGTTGCAGAAAGTCAGCCGTTGGAAAAGTGGCACAAGGATCACATGAGCGGAGACGATCCTGCGCACAGGCCAATGGATCAGGACTGATCCATCTACCTGATCCAACACCATGATCCCAAGACAGGATCCAGATTGTTAGCATTTCTTACATGTATTTAGACCACGCTCTCTAGCAAAGTAGATAGGACCTTCGTGGTCAACTCAAAGTATCAATCTCTACCAAAGGTTGATGGTAACACGCCTACTCCCGATACCTCACGTGACTTGTCTCTCAACTCCTACACTTCTT